GGATGGATTGTTTGAGCTTACAGGTTCAAGACCAGCCTGAGTAAGAGCCAGACCCTGTCTCTACTAAAAATAGAAAAACTGGCTTGGTGCCCATGTATACTGAGTCTGGTGAGTTCGAACCTGGCCCAGGCCTGCTAAACAACAATGACAGCTGCAACAAAAAAATAGCTGGGCATTGTGGCAGGCGCCTATAGTCCCAGCTACTCAGGAGGCTGAGGCAAGAGAATCAATTGAGCCCAGGAGTTTGAGGTTGCTGTGAGCTGTGATGCCATGACACTCTACTAAGGGCTACAAAATGAGACTCTTTCTCAAAAAAAAAGTGTTCCTTGAGTGCAGCACCACAGCAGCACATACAGGAGCCTTGACCCCAATCCTAACCCTAATCCTAATTCTTGCTGCCTCTACCAGATTTTAATCTTGCCCCTGCCCAGGGTTTTTAAGGCCTGACCCAAATCCTGAGCAGAAGGAAGTACAGAAGGGGAGCACCCTCTAACCACCTCCCCATCCTCTCCTGGGTCTCTCTCTCCAGACTTAGTACCCAACCTCAGCCTTCGTACCATCTCCTCTCCCTTACCAGCTCCTGCTTGGCACACAGTAGGTGCTTGAATTCCCTTACTCCAATACAGTGTTATGCCCTGTGCATCTTGGAAGAAAGTGTGCATGGGCCTTCAAGACTGCACTGAGGAGTGGGGACATGGAGTAGTAACAGCAGCTAACACCCAGGTGTACATGCAGCATTTATGCCAAGCAGGGAGGGGGTGTAGTTCTCACAGCCCTAATTCCACATACTTTGCCTGCATGCATGAATGACAAATGAGTGAATGACTGGCCCAGGGTGTACTGGCAGTGGGGGTAACTTGAAGTCCATCCCTGTGACAGCCTTAACCCTGTCTGGTTGTGCTGTTTGGTGTGGGGATGGCTAGAGATGGCCCTCTACACTGTCTGGACACCACAGACAGAAAATCCAGAGTTAGCGAAAATCCAGGACCAGAGTCCTGGGGATGTGCTGAGTTATTTTGTGTGTTGGATGGGGGCTCATCTCCACCTGCCTGCGAAAAGCTGTCCCTGTGCTTAAGGGACCCTGGTCACAGAAAACTGCCCTCATCTCCAGTCTGCCCTGTGAAGGGCCACAGATAAACTGCGCTGCTCCACCTAGCACCACTGTGTGGGCATCTTGATCCCCACCCCAACTGCAGGTGCCTGACCATCCCGGGGACACAGGTTTGGGGGACTCCGAGTTCCAGACTTAGCTGCCTGGGATGCCCCTCTCTGGGTCTCAGCTGGGTTCCTCTATCTGTAAAAAGGGTCAAGACACATTCTGTTTTAGGATTGTTAGGAAGGGAGCTGATGGTGATGATGAAAATGAGGAGGTACAGGGCAGTGGACCTGAGGCTCAGCAACCTGGGTTCCAGTCTCAGCCCTGCCTCATCCTACTGTATAGCCTCAAGTAACAGACCCAGTGTCAAGGTGAATGAAGAATTAAGGCAGGACTCCGGAGGAGGTGGGGCCTCCCAGATAGTTCCAGCCCAGAGACCCCAGATGGGTGTCAGGACTCTGAGTGGATGAGATGGGTTAGGGTTAGCATAGGTGCATAGGGCTCCCCAGGACCTGGTTGGGGGCCAGACCCTGTTAATACTTGGTCGGGTTTACCTTTTGGCACCTGTGTGCTGTCTTGTAAAATGGGACTACAAGTGTGCCAATAAGAATAGTGCATCCGCACAGGCACCCTAACCCCAAACCCCAGGTGTTGAGGCGCTTGATTTAAAAAACTAGGGATCACCCAGGCGCGGTGGCTCATGCCTGTTATCCTAGCACTTTGGGAGGCTGAAGCAGGTAGCATGCCTGAGTTCAGGAGATGGAGGCCAGCCTGAGCAAGAGTGATGCCCTGTCTCTACTAAACCCAGAAAAACTAGCTGAGGATTGTGGTGAGTGCCTGTAGTCCCAGCTACTTGGGAGGCTAGATCAAGAGGATCGCTTAAGTAAGAGAGTTTGAGGTTGCTGTGAGCTATGACGGCATAGTACTCTACCCGGGGTGACAGAGTGAGACTCAAAAGAAAAAAAAAAAAGGTCAGGGATAGCAAGTATTAGGAAGGAAGCACCTCTGCAATTAAGCTATGGTGCCCCATCACTTTTAAGGTACTTCCTGTTTTCAGAGGTTTTACGACGCGGAACACAAGCGCCATCACCCAAGAAGGAAACCGGGGCTCAGAGGGATCTGGGCTGGAGGATGCGTCCTGTAGAAGCCCAGCAGTCCTTCGCACACGCACGCCCGGCCTCTCTACTTTTTCACGCCTCCCCGCCCCTTCCCGGAGGGGCGTAGCCAGCCCAATTCCAGCCCCCCCCTCCCCCCAGCCTCCAATGACCCCGCCCAGCTCGGATCAGGGTCAGGGATTCCTTGCTCCTCACCCTGGGTCAGGATCAGGGATTCCGGGTTCTTCCCTTCCCCTGTCTACGTCGTGCGCTCCGTCCACCCAGCTCCTCCTCCCTGTGGGGGCAGAGTCCACCCGTTTTCCGCCGGCCCGCCCCGCGGGTCCACTCCCTTACCCTCTCCTCTTTCCCTTCCCTTCTCCACCTTCTCTTCCTTTTCCCTCCCTGCCGCTCCCCGCTCCTCCCCAGGCCTTCCCTCCCTTACCCCCTCTCCCTTGCCCTCCCCTTGGCAGCGGGGCTGGGCTCTGCCGCCACGTGACCCCGTGGCCAGGCGGGGCAGGGAGCGACGGGACGCTCTGGGACCGGTGTCTGGGGTCGCGGGCGCGGCCCGGGGCAGGGGCAATATGGAGCGGAGGTGGGTCTTCGTGCTGCTCGACGTGCTGTGCTTGGTGGTCGGTAAGAGCCCTGGGTCCCGGGTGTGTGTTGGGGACTTTCCCAGGACTGACACGCCCCCAGTCGCAGCGAAAGTTTGCAGGGCAAGAGGGGAGGCTGCAGCGCCCTACTCTTGGAGGACCCCCTGGAGGTAGGGGAACTCTGCGGAAGACCTTCCCACTCCCAGATCTACCTCTCCCTGTGTTCCCATGCCCTTTCGTGCGCCCACCAGCCACCTGGCCCCGCTTGCCAGGCTCAGGAGGGGTCCTGAAGGGTCCAAGTGCTAAGGTGAGCATCCTTCGGCGGCCGCCGCCGCAGGAAGGGGCCACGGAGGGGCCGCTAGGGTCTCCCCCCACCTCGCCCCGCCCGGCTTGGGCGGTGATTCACGCGGGCTGTGGCCCGGCTCCCGGCAGCCCGGGCGGGGAGCGGGGCCGCGGGTCACCTCGGAGGACCTCTATACCTCTGCTGCCAGGAACGGGATCCCCACTGGTGGGTGGGATTCGAACCCCTTGCGCTGCAAGTTAGGTCTGGCGCTCCCGCGCCTTGGGCCTCGCAGAGACGTAGAGAAAGGCTAGGCCGCGGGCTGCGGGTGCATCGAGCCTCGGGGCAGGCAAGAACTAAACCTGTCCTGCGGGTTTGCGGGCCAGGTTGGGGGAGGGGCCACTCCAGGCCCCCACCGGGCCCCTCCCCTAGGGTCTCCAGAACAAAGGCCGAGTGTTTGCTCTGTGGCCACACGGACAATGGCCCAGAATTCTAGGAGCGGCCAGGATCAGGCCTAATTCTGTGTCGCTCCCCCCAGCGTGGTTCCCGATTTGCTGCTGGGCTAGCAGAGGCCAGGACCTCCTTTTATATCCCGGAGGAGACCCTTTTAGGATGGGCCAGGTGACAGCAAGAAGGTCCATCGGGCATTTGCTAACCCTGGGTACCACTTTCTGAGCACCTGTGTTACTTAAACATTGATGTGGCACTTACTGTATGCTACACATTAAGGAATATGCAAATATTATAATTAAACTTTCACCCTTAAACAGCCTGAGGGAATGCTGCTGTGATCCCCAAATGCAGCCCAGAGAAGCTGAGCCACCTGCTGGAGGTTACACCCAGCGAGAGGTGGAGCTGAGATTAGGTTGGGTATTGCTGTAATATGCTATGTGGTGGTGGCCCAGGCAGACCTGGCTTCCATTCTAGAAGCTTTAATACCTACACTGTCCCTGGTGGTGACAAGGAAGGTGGTGTGAGGGCTGGGAGGTGCTCAGGATGCCTAAATGTGAGGGGATGCTCCAATGGGATGTCTGAATCTCTGGTGGGAGGTGCTGGATTAGGATTAGGTGTCCCTGACAGCCATACCTGTGTGGGCCTATCCCATACTCTACTGTGGGAGGGGGTGGACTTCATTTCTCAGCATCTTGTAACCCTGACCTTGGGCAACTCTGGGAGCCTCCTCTAGGTTTTTTTTTTTTGAGACAGAGCCTCAAGCTATCCTCCTGGGTAGAGTGCCACGGCATCGCAGCTTACAGCAACCTCCAACTCTTGGGCTCAAGCGAGTCTCCTGCCTCAGCCTCCCAAGTAGCTGGAACCACAGGTGCCGGCCACAACGCTTGGCTATTTTTTGGTTGCAGCTGTAATTGTTGTTTTTTGGTGGGCCCAGGCTGGGCTGGATTTGAACCTGCCACCTTAGGTGTATGTGGTTGGCACCTTAGCCACTTGAGCCACAGGCACCAAGCCACTTCTCCAGGTTCTTATAATGTCCTACAGCCCAGCCTACCCCCTCAACTCCCTGCCCACCCCAGAGATGCAGTTCCACCCCTAGGCCTGAGCATTGCCTTTCTTTCTCTTCCCATCTCGTTTGAACCACCTCACAACCTTCAGGCATCTGCCCTGCAGTCTACCTTATAGCCCCATCTAACCACAGTTGTCAGGCTGGGCCTGATGGCTCACGCCTGTAATACCAGCATTTTGGAAGCTGAAATGGGTGGATTGCTTGAGTTCAAGAGTTCGAGACCAGTCTGGGCAAGAGTAAGACCCTTGTCTCTAGTAAAATCTAGCCAAGTGTTTTAGCAGACACCTCTAGTCCCAGCTACTCAGGAGGCTGATACAAGAAGATTGCTGGAGCCCAAGAGTTTGAGGTTGCTATGAGTTATGACACCATGGCACTCCACCCCGGGTGACCAAGACTCTGTTTCAAAAAAAAGAATCCCCCTCCAAAATAACAAAAACAAAAACCACAGCTGTCTCCCAGACAGCAACCTCCTTTCCTGCTCCGCACCCCTTTCTTACTCTTCCTCGTTCCCTTGCCTCTGTGTCCCTCTGTGAGGTGGACCTCTTTGCCTTCCTCACTGGATTATGTTTCCAGACTCATCATCAAAAGTACTCAAGAACGCCACTGGAGGTGTTCACATCTCAGAGAAGTCACACCATTTTATATTTGTCACCTGCCCTGCATAAGTATCCTACCTTGGTTTGTCTCTAGGGAGCTGACCTGGGCTTCTGTTGTACACCCACTTATGGAGTAGGAAGCTGCTCTCTGTCCCAGTCCTCTATAGGTGGCTTCTGCCTCCTTGGCCACCCTAGGTTCATTACTCTGTTTTTGGCACCTGTACTGTTGGACTGGACTCCCTGAGGCCAGTGCTGCATCTGTCCTGGTCACCATGTGGTAGGCTCAGGGCTTGGCTCAAAGGTAAACAAAGGGGCAAATGCATGAAGAGTGGTGCTTCAGCTGCTCCCTTCCTCCCAGTGTTCCTCACCTCTCTGAGGTCAGGCCTCTTGAGTCCTGCCTTATTAATAAACACTTCCCCTGGCTAGACCCAAAGCAGGCTCCAGGGACTCAGCCCTGAACTCCACAAGCCCCTTCTGGTGCTCATAGATGAATGGGGAAAATTCAAGCAAGTATCACACAAGCGATTGCATAATTCCACATGAGGACAAGAGATATGAATACAGGTGTTTCTTGCTATGAGAGTAATGCCAGGGTTGGACAAGCAGGAGGGGGATGAAGCTGAGACTGGAAGTTAGTCAAAGATATTTTCGGCAGAGAGAAGTGCCTATGCAAAGGTCCTGGTATGGGTGCTTGCTGTATTTGTTCAGGAGCAGAAAGGAGGCTGGAAGTGTGTGTGTGTGTAGTGGGGTTGGTAATTATTTGAGGATAAGGAGGAGCCATGGGAGGGTGAATGGTGCAGCAGTCTCCATTTGCCATGAGAAAAGCTCCTCCTAGCTGTCTGGTGGGAGTGGAGGTGGGGAGACCGGGAGGCCAATGCAGTTGTGTGGAACCCCAAGGCTTCACTGTGGGAGAGCCGCCTGGCTTCTTGAGCTTCTCTCCTTCACCCCAGCCTCTCTGCCCTTCGCCATACTGACGCTGGTGAACGCCCCATACAAGCGAGGATTTTACTGTGGAGATGACTCCATCCGGTATCCCTACCGTCCTGACACCATCACCCACGGGCTCATGGCTGGAGTCACCATCTCAGCTACCGTGGTCCTTGTAAGGCGTGGGGCAGGGGTGGGAGCTAGGGAGGGGCACAACCCTGTCCTGGATGTCTGTGGGGGCCTGATGGCAGACACTGGTCTTCCCTGGGTGGTACTTATGGGGACAGGGCCCCTTTGGAATTCCTTAGCAGCCTCAGGGAGGTCTGAGGCCAAGATTCCCAGAAGTCTCTGTAGCTGCCTCAGCCTAGCCTTGAGGCTCTTTGGCTGCCCTTTGCAGGTCTCAGCTGGTGAAGCCTACCTGGTATATACAGATCGCCTCTATTCCCGCTCTGAATTCAACAACTACGTGGCTGCCGTGTACAAGGTGTTGGGGACATTCCTGTTCGGGGCTGCTGTAAGCCAGTCTCTGACGGACCTGGCCAAGTACATGATTGGCCGTCTACGGCCCAACTTCCTGGCTGTTTGCGACCCTGACTGGAGCCGGGTTAACTGCTCAGTCTATGTGCAGCTGGAGAAGGTGTGCAGGGGAAGCCCTGCTAATGTCACCGAGGCCAGGTAAGTGTGGGTCAGCAGCCTTCACTATGGACGATGCTGGGGGAGCCCAAGCCACAAACCTCCTGTCTCGTGGGACGAGCAAGGCTGGAAAAGCCCCGGGAGCTGGAATGTGAAGAGTACCAAGGTGCTGGTTAGGCAGGGGCTGGCCAGGAGCCAGACATTGAGGTGCCCATGGGTCCTGCAGTCTCTGCCTGCTGGCTTCTGCTTCATCTTCTTACCATCTCTATTAATAGTTCCCCAAACTTCTCATCTAATTGATATCCTTTAAAAAAAATTGGCATAACATAAAATTCACTATTTTACCCATTTTTATGTGTGCATTCATTTTTAGTACATTCATAATGTTGTGCTCTAATTCTGGAATATTTTCTTTTTTTTTTTTTTCTTTAGAGACAGAGTCTCACTTTATCACCCTTGGTAGACTGCTGTGGCGTTACAACTCATAGCAACCTCCAACTCCTGGGCTTAGGCGATTTTCTTGCCTCAGCCTCCCAAGTAGCTGGGACTACAGGTGCCCTGCCACAATGCCTGGCTATTTTTTTTGTTGCAGTTTGGCTGGGGCCAGGTTTAAACCCGCCACCCTTGTATATGGGGCTGGCGCCCTACCCACTGAGCCACAGGCACTGCCCAAATTCTGGAATATTTTCATCACACCCTGAAGAGACCTGGTTCTCACTAGCTGTCACCCCCTTCCCCCAACCTCTGGCATCCACTAACCTATGTTGTATGTTTTCAAACTTCATCCATGCTATAATGTTCTGTCAAATTTCACTTTGTGTATTTTAGGACTCTGTTGTTTAGTCTGTATCTCTTTGTAATTGTTACTGGTACGTTTTCTTGACAGATTGGCCTGTTTATCATTATGGAATAATATATATATATATATGAGTTTTATCTCATAACAATTTTTGTCTTTTTTTTTTTTTTTAGAGACAGTTTCAATTTATCAGACAGAGTCTCACTCTATTTCATAGAGTACTGTGGCATCACAGCTCACAGCAATCTCCAACTCCTGGGCTTAAGGGATTCTCCTGCCTCAGCCTCCTGAGTAGCTGGGACTATAGGCACCAGCCACAGAGCTCGGCTGTTTTTTTGTTGCAGTTTGGCTGGGGCCAGGCTCAAACCTGCTACCCTTGGTATATGGGGCCGGCGCCCTACCCACTGAGACACAGGCACTGCCCAACAATTTTTGTCTTAATGTCTATTTTTTCTAATATTGATTAGTATAGATATTATGGCTCCATTTTATTTTATTTTATTATCTTTTGTTTTGAGACAGGGTCTCACTCTGTCACCCTGGGTAGAGTACCATGGTGTCATAGCTCACAGCAACGTTAAACTCTTAGGCTTAAGTGATTCCCTTGCCTCAGCCTCCCAAGTACCTGGGACTACAGGTGCCTGCCACAACGCCTGGCTACTGGCTCTCTTAGTTGCTATTTGCATGGAATCTTTTTTTTTTTCATAATGAGTTGCCTCTCATGCTTTTAATATTCTCTCTTTGACATAGTGTTTTAATACTTTCATTGCATATGTGACTTCCTGTGGTCCCTTTGAGTTTATCTTACATGGAGTTCATTGAGCTTCTTAGATGTGTAGATTAATGTTTTCATGATTATTTTGGAGCCCCTCTACTGGACTATCTATTAGGTATACATTGGTGTGACTGATGGTGTCCCACAGGTATCTGAAGCTCTTCATTTTTCTTCATTCTTTTTGTTCTTCATACTGAGTAATCTCAGTTGCCTTATCTCTGAGTTCATTGCCTCTCTTCTGTTTGCTTAAACATATTCCTGGCTGCCTCAAGTGATTTCTTATATTAGATATAGTATTATGTGTATTTTTTATTTTTATTTTATTTATTTATTTATTTAGAGACAGAGTCTCACTTTGTCACCCTTGGTAGAGTGCTGGGACGTCATAGTTCACAGCAACCTCAAACTCTTTGGGCTCAAACAATTCTCTTGCCTCAGCCTCCCGAGTAGCTGGGACTATAGGTGCCCACCACCAGCACCTGGCTGTTTTTATTTATTTATTTATTTATTTATTTTGAGACAAAGTCTTAAGCTGTCACCCTGGGTAGAGTGCTATGGCATCACAGCTCACAGCAACCTCAGACTCTTGGGGTTAAGCAATTCTTCTTGCCTCAGCCTCCCAAGTAGCTGGGACTACAGGCGCCTGCCACATGCCTGGCTATTTTTGTTGTTGTTGTTTTGGTAGTTGTCATTGTTTTAGCTGACCCCAGCTGGGTTCAAACCCACCAATCCCAGTGTATGTGGCTAGCACCCTATCCACTGAGCTACTGGCACTGCCCTTGAAGAGATAGGGTCTTGCTATGTTGCCCAGGCTGGTCTCAAACTCCTGGCCTCAAATGATCCTTTTGCTTTGGCCTCCCAAAGTACCAAGATGTGAGCCATAACACCTCGCCAAATTGTTCTTACAGGTCTTTGAACATTTTATTTATTTATTTATTTGAGACAGAATTTCACTTTGTCGCCTTTGGTAGAGTACTCTGGCATCATAGCTCACAGCAACCTGAAACTCTTGGGTTCAAATGATTCTCTTGCCTCAGCCTCCTGAGCAGCTGGGACTACAGGTGCCTGTCACAGCACCCAGCTTGTTTTAAAGATGGGGTCTCGCTCTGGCTCAGGCTGGTTTTGAACTCCTGAGCTCAAGCAAGCCACCCCCTTCGGCCTCCCAGAATACTAGAATTACAGGCGTGAACCATCACGCCCAGCTTCAAACATATTTTAAATGGCTAGTAAAAAATGTTTGTCTAGTAAGTCCAATGTCTGGGTTTCTTTTAGGGCAACTTCTATTAATAGATTACTTCCCTGTGTGTTGGCCACACCCTTTTTTCCTACATGCCTTGCAATTGTTTTTGTTGAATGCTGGGCACATTGAATATTATAATGTATCACTCTGGAACCCCTCTCCCTAGGATTCCCTGTTGCTGTTTGTTATTATTGTTTTTTGAGATAGAGTCTCACTTTGTTGCCCTTGGTAGAGTACGGTGGCATCATAAATCACAGTAACCTCAAACTCTTGGGCTCAGATGATTCCCTTGTCTCAGCCTCCTGAGTAGCTGGAACTTACAAGTGCTGGCCGCAATGCCCAGCTATTTTTGGAGACAGGATCTCACTCTTGCTCAGACTGGTCTCAAAATCCTGAGCTCTGGCAATCCACCCTCCTTGGCCTCTCAGAGTGCTAGGATTACAGGAATGAGCCACTTGGCTGACCTATAGTTGTTTTTTTAATGACTTTTTTTTTTTGTTTGTTTGTTTTAGCAGGCTTGGCTGGGTGGAATCCACTACCCCGGGCCAGCCCTCTAACTATTGAGACACAGGTGCCCAGCTTTAATGACTTTTCTGAATGAATTTTGTAAAGTCTGCAATTTTTATCATGTGTGGCTGTGGCATTCTTTTAGCTTAGTGGTGGTCAGCTAGTAATTGGATAATTTCCTTAAACTTAGAAACTCCCCCCATTCAAAATCTTCTAGAGTTTGCAGAAAGGGTCTGTGGCTCTGTTGGGCCAACCCTTCAACAAGTGAGCAAGTCTATTACTCTGCCCTAGCTCTCCCTTCTTGTGTGAGCAGAGCCTGAGGGCCAGCCAGAGGTGTGCACTCAGGGCCTGAGCATGGGCCCAGCTCTGGCCTTCTAGATTCTAATCCTCAGAGCAACTTGTTCCCCAGTCTGTCCCTTCTGTGCCTCTTCTGCTTTCCATGGCCCCAGGCAGCAGTGACTGATCCTTTTGCTAGGAAGATTTTATACAATTGCCCCCAGGTGGCTGGCTGCCTCAGCAGTGAGAGAATGCCTAGGTGGGTGAGATAAAGGCCAGCCCTTGAGCAACCACCAGACTAGTCAAAACAAACTGCTGCAGTTCTTTGCAAATGAGGCCTGTTCTGCTGTTGGGGCTGTAGAGTAAGGGCTACGGTTAGTGTTAGATATCTCAGCACAGTGGGAAAAGGACCAGGAAGAGTTAAAAGGCTATAAAGTTGTTTGTTGTGAGATTCCACTGGTTTATCTTCAACAGGTGTTCCTCTGGTTGCTGCAAGCATTTGATTAGGTCCAAAATTGATTGTGACCCTTCTGTTAGTTTTCTCATTGGTTTTGGAGTTTCTTGGTCTGCTGTTTCCTCCATCTTTTATCGATGTCCTTTGCTCAATCTGGAATTTATTTAAAAAGAAAATGTGAAATTTCCCTCAGTTCCACAGATAGGAAATAAACCTGAAAAAAAAAAAAAAACAGTGAAGAAAAAACTGTGGTGTTAACTGCTTGCTAGACACAATCATGTTGATTGAAAAATATTATTAACGAGGTGTACACTTTTGAAAAAGGAGAATTTTATTTCTCATAAAGGGTAGCAGCATGCTGGGTGGCTGTTCCAACAGGTTGGGAAGCAGGCCCTAGCTTCCCAAGGCCTGTATACTTGAAAGAAGAGACAAAGGCAATGGGATTTTATACTGAGCAGAGTGTTCAAATATACACATTTAACAAGCTACAGGAGGAGTCATGAATATTTATGAAGGGAAATCATACACATATAATTGTGCTTTATCTCATCCCTTCAAGGCTGGAAACTCATTTTTAAGGCTTGAGGGTTTGGGGATCCCTTTGGCTGAGAGGGGTCCATTCGGTTAGCAGAGGGCTTAGGATTTTATATTTATTTATTTATTTTTAGTTTTTATTTATTTATTTTTTGAGTCTCACACTGTCACCCTGGGTAGAAGGCCAGGGCATCATTGTAGCTCTCAGCAACCTCAAACTTCTGGGCTGAAGCGATCCCCTTGCCTCAGCCTCCCAGGTAGATGGGATTACATGTGCCGGTCCCAATGCCGGGCTAGTTTTCTTTTTTTTTTGAGACAGAGTCTCAAGCTGTAGCCTTGGGTAGAGTGCCTTGGCATCGTAGCTCATAGCAACTAACTCTTGGGCTCAAGAGATCCTCTTGCCTCAGTTTTTCTATTTTTGGTAGAGACAGTGGGGGGTGGTTCACTTTTGCTCGGGCTGGTCTTAAACTCGTGAGCTCAAGCAATCCACCTGCCTCGGCCTCTTACTAGAGTGCTAGGATTATAGACATAAGCCACCATGCCCAGCCACCCCACTAATTTTTCTTTTCTTTCTTTTTTTTTTTTTTTTTTTAGTAGAGATGGGGTCTCACTTTTGCTCAGGCTGGTCTTGAACCCCTGAGCACAAGTGATCCACTCACCTTGGCCTCTCAGAGTGCTAGGGTTACGGACACCCCTGCCTAGGATTTTATTTTTAGTTTACAATTGTCTATCTTGCTTTTTGTCTTGGTTTCTGCAGTGAGGCCTCAAAGTCCTCAGTCAGAATGTTTATTCCATTGTGTGAGAACTGGAAAGGAGAAAAGGGAAAATCGTTGTGTACTGGGATTCAATAGTATGTAAGGCCAGTGGTTTCTACATGAAATGCTCCTTTGTATGGGTCTCAGACTTTAGGGAAAACAGCCAGAGGGGGTGGGGACCAGGGAGAGGTTTAAAGATGCCACCGCCTTCTTCCCTAGGTTGTCTTTCTACTCAGGACACTCCTCCTTTGGGATGTACTGCATGATGTTCTTGGCTGTGAGTCTGTTTCTTGGGGGACTTGCTGTTGGGAATCAAGACTAAGTCTCTGTCTCTCCTGGGCCTCAGTTTTCCCATCTATAAGATGGGTGGGTGGGAGTGGTGATGAGAGGCTCATTGGTTTGTTCATTGGCCCTGGGTTAACCATTCCATGTTTTCCTAGCCTTGGTGCTTCCATCTGTGCAGTGGGTATAGGGTTGCTGGGCAGGCGGGCACCCAGGCTGACGCACCCTTGCCCTGTCCCAGCTCTACGTGCAGGCACGGCTCTGTTGGAAGTGGGCAAGGCTGCTGCGGCCCACGGTTCAGTTCTTCCTGGTGGCCTTTGCCCTCTATGTGGGCTACACCCGAGTGTCTGACCACAAACACCACTGGAGTGATGTCCTTGTTGGCCTCCTGCAGGGGGCGCTGGTAGCTGGCCTTACGGTAAGCTCCTGGGCCCCTCCCCGTCCCTAGTCCAGAGCTGACCCCTCCCCCAGTCCTTACCTGGGTCCCCTCTACTCTCCACTTCCCTGGGCCACTTGCTTCCCTACCAAAGTCCTTCCCTTTACAATTGTCTGTCTTGATTTCTGTCTTGGTTTCTGCAGTGAGGCCTCGAAGTCCTCAGTCAGAATGTTTTATTCCATTGTGTGAGAAATGGGAAGGGGAAAATCTTTGTGTACCCTACCCAGTGCTATCCTGCCCCTCCCCCAGCCCTTCCCTGGCCCCTCCCTCCCATTCTCCCCATTTGTCCTCCCATAAGATCCCACTCTTCCATCTTAGACTCTTTTCCTCCTGCCCAGCCCGTGGTAACCCTCTTTCTTAGACCCCAACTCCATCACTTCCCAGGACCTTGTTCTTCCTCACCCTGCTTGCTCCTAGTCCCTGCCCAGCCCCATCCAGTCTCTCACCTGCCTCCCCTCTGCCAGGTCCGCTATGTCTCAGACCTCTTCAAAGCCCGGCCCCCGCAGCACTGCCCAGAGGAGGAAGAGCTGGAACGGAAGCCCAGCCTGTCACTGACGCTGACCCTGGGCGAGGCTGACCGCAACCACTATGGCTACCCACTCTCCTCCTGAGGTTGGCCCTCCCAGGCTGAGGCCCAAGACTTACCCTGGTTTAGGTGATGAAGGCTCTGGATAGCCCTGGTACCCCAGGCTGATAGCAACAGTGGGCAGGGTCCTCTGCCCACCCCCTTTGTGTTGGATCAGGTGTTTGGGGTACCTGGCCAGTACTGAATATTGGGGGGTCTGTTCTCAGAGCTTCCTGAATACCCCCTTTCTATTAAGGGGTTAGGGGAGGGACCAAAAGATTATGTTGTTGTTATTTTGTAAGATGTAATGTATATGTGGATTTTTAGTAAAATAGGACATTTGTTTGACAAAGGATATCAGTGCCTCTGTTCCTTGTGGCCATGCAAGGACCATGTTTCTCACGGCAGAGAGGACCTCTTGTTAGGGGCTCAGAGAGCCCAGGTGGTCAGCAGCTGACTGAGACAACACACTGGAAAGTGAATTCACTCACTGTAATGGTGGAAGCCACAGGCTAACTCACCTGCCCCTTCCATTTCTCCCCAGTGCAAAAACTGGATCACCATGCAGGGGGGTAGTCTGACTGCTGAGAGGGACAGGTGGGGTAGAGGAAGGGCCTTGTTGAGTTGGCCTCAAGATATCCCCTCCCTAGTAGGAAGGTTCCACTGGAGGGACCTGGAAGGCCTCTGCCCAAGGTCCCCATTTGAAGCCACAAATGTGGGAGCCAATGAGAATGGGGCTGGCCAGCTGGGTGCCCAAGTCTTTGTGGGGAGGGCAGCTTCCCCGAGGTCTGCATGTAGAATCTCTGGCTAGGCCTTTGGGGGCACACACAGGGCTTGCCTGGAGCCCAACTACTCACCCTTTCCTGTATCCTGTGTCTCACTAACTCTTTGGGTGCTGCCCTAGCCCTGAGGCCTCAGAGCCCGTCAACTGACCAGGGCCCCTGCTCACCAGACTTCCATCTCAGCTGTGCTACTTGCAGCTGCACGTGTCGGCAGGTTACAGAGTTCCTATAGGAAGCCCCGCCTCCTCCTCTGGGTTCCCGTAGGCCCAAACCCCGCCTCTGTTCATGTAGGTCCGATGCGCATGGGGGCCACACTTCTGAAACTGATGATTGAGGGGCTGATGTCCCTGCCACTGTCACAGAACATACAGAGCTTAATTTTTAAATGGGGGGAGGGTGGCATCTGTGGTTCAAGGAGCAGAGTGTTGGCACCATATGCCGGAGGTGGCAGGTTCAAACCCAGCCCCGGCCAAAAACTGCAAAATAAATAAATAAATAAAATAAAATGTAATTAAAAAAAATTTTTTTTTAAATGAGAAGGTAGAGTAAATTTAGTTGGTTTTTTGTTTGTTTGTTTTTACTAAATATCTCTTTGCAACGGATAATTTACTTTAAAGTATCTAGCAAAGTTTTATTTGCTCTAAAGTATCACAAGATGGAAAAGCAAATATCCAATGTACTTAATTTTATTATGAAGCCAAAAGATGATGTAACACATGCCCACATAGGAGAAAAACTTAATTCTCTACAAGTTGGGGGGTAGGGGGAACAAGGGAGTGTGTAGAGGATGGGGGGATTGGTGTGTTCCCATTTAAAGGGCACAGGTAGGGATGTATGACACCCCTTTTGGGTGTGGGAAACAACAATAAGAGGGACTCTACCTAACAAATTCAAATATTGTGACCTGGATGTTTGTACCCTCACAATAACCTAAAATTAAAAAACAAAAAAAAGGCTCGGCGCCTATAGCTCAACCGGCTAAGGCACCAGCCACATACACCTAAGGTGG